ATGCTTGCACCTGTATTTAATTACATTTCATCTTTGTACAACTCTATACAACTAAACACACCAAGTTTTGATGGGGAAAAGAGAAGCGAACTTTCCTCCTCCCTGAGTCATTATATTGCCACTTTACAAAAAGAGAAACAGAGAGTTAAAGAGATTAAAAACATCACCAAAGTCCCACTTTGCCCAAGTGGTAGAACTGGACTAGAATTAAGGCATTTCCTATCCAAAGTCTTCCACTTCACCACCCTGCCCTCAGAAATGTCTGCCCCCGATCTTCTCACCAATAGTCAAGCACTATATGAACTATCTCTTACACAGATGAGTTCTCCCCTCAAAAATAAGGTAGACCCTTAAAATGGCACAGCTGTAACTTCATGAATTCAAAACTGTCATGAGACAAATAAAGTCCTCTCACACATATGCCCTCTGCTGCTCAGAACCTAATCAAATGGGGTTCCCCATCATGCTCCAGACAGGCAGACATTTATGCATCACGAAAGCACACCCTTCACTCTCTCCCTATCCAGTTGCCTCATTAGTCATCTCAGGGTATGAACTGGACCAGCTACACTGTTCTCTCATTCCCCAAAATTTAGGGCCCTTCTTTTGCGTACACCTTTTTTCAGTGAAGATGCACATCCGAGTATCCAAGACAATTTTTATCCTTCTTCAGAGACACAGAATTCCTGCAAAAACACATAGTGGTACCCCCTTCACAAGAGCTGGAGTGTCCACCTGCCCTATCCTCCTGGCTAGTTTTCTCCCAGTGACATGAGTCCAGGCTAAAGTGCGCATGCCCACACATGCACACACGCTCAGGGTAGCTTTACACTCAGCCAAGAAAACCTCGAAGATGAACAAACACTCCCAGTCCATCTCTTCCCTGATCACGACTTTACCATTCTCCAGCTCCATGTATCAAGTCTCATTCCAGCTATGAAAGAGGCCCTGCACACTCTCAAAAACTCAATCCTCAAAGGGACCTACACTCTGACCTGAAGTACAGCACCTTCAAATTCCCAGCCCACACCCCCTACAACAACCAGCAACACCATCCAGCTCCCTTCCCAACACACAAAAGTCTACATCTTCCCTATCTTTATGTCCCCGTTTTTCCAAAACCAGAGATACATTTCAAGACAGCTTCCCTTTGGCCCCCAAGATCCATAAACATCTCTAGACACTGAATTATAGACCTTGAAGAAACCTCAACAAGCATTGAGGTCTATTTCTGGTAAAATTGCAGCATTTAGCTGAGCCTGGAGAAGGAATTTTTCCAGGGCAGCGTGCCATGCCCCAGTACCCAGCAATGGGCTGAGCATCCAGTAGGCACTCCATTAGCTTCAATTGATTATCAGTATGAACTGGTGATAGTGAATTTCCCCCATTACATAAGAAACCCATTACAAAACATTACACGACATGCATTCCTGACACTAGACACGAATAGTGTATTCCTCCACTTACTTCAGTCTTATGCACACATCCCTTCTCATTCTCACCCAGTGCCAATGCACAAGGACTTTTCCCCTTAAATGTACATCCCTCATTCTAAGGCTCTTCCCATTCTCTCCTCTCTGGGGAGGAAGGAGAGGGGAGGCAAACATCAATCCCTACCCTGTGTCTTTCCATACAAATGCTTTGTCTTTCCATAAAGAGGATTTGAGCTCACACTTTTCTACCCCCACATGCCCCAGTGCCATTCCAGCCAAATTTCCCACTGCACCCTCATAAAGTTCACACCCTGTGCTCCTCAGATAATCTTTCCCCGCCCCCCACACACATCCCTTTGGTAATCCTCAGGCACCCAGCCTTCCACATGCATCCACCTTTCGCTCACACACACAGCCGCCCTCCTACACCACACCCACTCCATGTGTTTGTGCAGGCATGCACAAACCATCTGTCTTCAACAGGCTGCACCTATCCTCCTGCTCTGACACCCTTCATAGGCGCAGACTTTGCATTAGCTACACCTATGTTCCTGCAAGCTCTTGTCTCCCGCTGAGCGCACAGATGCCCATCCGACAGACTCCCCAGAAACACACACCTCCCAGGCACCAGAGAAGGATGGGACTCCAGCCCTTTTGCCACCTCCCGCTACACACATGCGCGCTCGCACACACACGCACACGCGCACCTTGGAAAAACATCCCCATCCCTCCCTGACCACTCAGTGGTCACAATCTCACTCCATAGATAAGCAGATCCCATTCATACACAACCAAATCCTCTAAATCCGGCTACACTCCAGTCTCACCAACACAAAATCCCACACACTCCCTAGGGGAAACACCCCAGACTTCCTACCTTCCTTCAACACTGTTCACCGGACGGACGGAGGGAGCCTGCTTTATTTTCCAACCCCGTTAACTCCCAACGCCATACCCAAGTCTGTGTTTGCCCCCAAGGCAGAGGCGGTTGTGTTTTATCCTCTACATTCTACCTCTCAGCGTTCTCTGTGAGACGTGTCAGGAAGGAATTGAGGGCAGGGGGAAGGCAGGCTGAGTATGCTGGAGAACTTCTGAGTGTTGTGGAAACAAGACCGCTGAAAAAGTCCCTTCTATGTTACAACTTTCTCCCATCCTGACGTTTAGGACAGAGCGCTTCCATGTTTTCCTCGCTCTCGCTGATTTGCGGGGTAGGAGCCGGCATCTCTTTATTAAAAAGCAGGTCCCTCAGTACACTACATAATCAGATAAGTTACAAACATCAGGCTCCAGGACAAACACCCACTCCTTCCAGGCTCCCCTCCCCTCTCAGCAGGCCCCCGCCCCCACCTCTTCACACACATAAACAAGTCCACAGGCGCACAGTCTCCCGAGCTCTCTAGCTCTGAGCCCGGCGCTCCCGGGAGCGGCCTCCATTCGGACTCAGAACCTGCCGCCCGCCGCCAGAGGCCAACGCCAGACGATCTCTTCGGTGTTTCCCCCACCGGGAATCCCACCGGAGCCTCAATTCCAGAAAAAAGGATCCACGGCCCCCACACGGTTCGACGCAGAGGTCTCAGTGCAGTGCATCGGAAGCGCAGGCAACAAACAAACGCACGCAGCAGCCAAAGTCCCGCAAAGAAGCAGCGCCTCCTGGACGCGGACTGACTCCAGCCGAGAGCAACAAGCAGAATCCTACTCCCCTAGCCCATCCCCTCGGCCCTCGCGCCTCCTCTCCCTAACCTTCAACTCCCAAGCGTCCCAAATTTCATCAGGAGCGTCCACCACCGAGTAAAGCTCTGGGAAAATGGGGCAGTTCGGTCCGTCGTGGGACCTTTAAACTCCGACCTGGCTGGCTGCGCGGGTGCCCGGGTCTCCCAGCTTCCCACGCCACAGCTGAAAGTCCGAGAACAGGCTCGACGAAACCGTGAGGAGATCCCCAGAGATGGCCGGGCCCGGGTGGCCGCGGCTCCCTGACGGGGTCCCAAAGGTGCGGGCTGCGCACGGAGCTCCAACATCTGCGCAAAGGCCCAAGGTGGGGTGGCCACCGGGTGGGCGCTGGCCAAGAGGAGCCCGCCGCGCGAGGTCTTTTCTGAAAAAAACCTTTCGGGGGACTCCGACGCAGGTACGCGGCGTGGGGCGGTGAGTCCCAACTCCCCAAACTGGAATGCGACGTTCCGAGTCCTGAGCTGCGCGTCCCCTCCCCCAGCCTACGCCCCGGCCCGGGAGGTGCCGGGGCGAGCTGAGAATCAGGCGCAGTGGCAGGCAGGGTGCAGGGCGTGTGCAGGGGAGCTGCAGTCGCACCTCCCCGCTCGGGGTTCCTGTCTGCCACCCCCTTTTGTTATAGGATGCGCGGGGAGCTTTCTCCGAGAAGCTGACGGATTGGCTGCGGGTGGTGGATGGTTGATTCTGTTGCGTTTCTTTCCTGCCCTTCCGTCGTCCCCGTTTCCCCTCGCCTCTCCCCACCCTTTCCAATCCAGGTCCCTTAAACCTGATCGCTTTCCCAGACTGAGGGAGGCTTCTAGGGCAGCCGAGGGACAAGAGGGGAGGAGAGGAGGTGGAGAAGTGTCCGTAAGTGTCCGTGTCTGTGTGTGTGTGTGTGTGTATGTGCGCGCGCGAGCGCGTGTGTGTCTGTGTGTGTAGGGGATGGCTGTGGTTGTGCCTCGGCCTGGGCAGATCCCAGCGCAAACTTTGGGGAAGGCACAAGCCCGGGAAAGTGAGTAAGTGAGCGCGGCGCGATGGGGGTGGGGCGGGGTGCGGAGTTGGGGCCCGCGCGCCGGTTCACTGGAAAATCGCTCCCCACACGGCCCCTCGCCCCCAGACCTGCCCACCCAACGTGCCCTCCGCCTCCCCTTACCGTGGCAAAAGTAACCATGGCATCCGTGTGACCGTTTCCAGGGACGTCGACATGAAGAGAAAGGTGGACGCGAGCTCGGTCATTCAAAGTCTCCCCCACCCCGCCGCAGCCACTACCCAGCAGGGGAAAATGGAGAGGCAGAAAGAAAGGAGAAAGAAGAAAGTAGTTGCGCCGGGCTGTGTCGCGGGGCGGTGCGCAGAGCTGTTCGGTAGGGAGAGGAGCTTCAACTCTGAGTCCCGTGAACATAATCTGCGCGGTTATAACCAGCCAACCCGGCCAGATGGCTCCGCGCTCAGCGCCTTAACCCCTTCCGCGCCGCGCCGCGCCGCCCGCCCCCGCCCGGCCCGCGCAGCGCCGAGTACGCCGGTGCCCAAGAGCCCCTCGGACCTCGCTTCGGGACCCGTGGCGGGGAAGGGGTCATTTCTCCTAGTCCCTTTTGAAAAACAAAGCAAAACAAAACAAAACAGCAACAGCCACAAAAACTTCCAAATCAGTAGTATTCTTCAGTAACCCCCACCCTTATGTTCTTTTTTAGAGATCCAGGAAAAAACCGAAACATTAAATTTACCGTAACAGGTTACATGTTAGTGTTTTCAGCCTTTCTTAGTTGTTCTTTTTCTTGAAATTTTTCTTTCTGATCTTTTTTTCTTTTACAAGGCATTAGGACCTTCTCCTGTGCCTTTCCTCTGGCGGATCAGGTCTGAGGCGTAAACTCCTCCTCCAAACCTTAGACCCTTCCAGCTCTCGGTCTCTCCCCACCCCCTACCAAGCCCACCCGCCACTCCTCCCCCCCACCCCACAACACGAACACGCCCTAGGACAATCGCTCCCCGGCGAACTCGCCGCTCCAGGGGACCCGCGCCCAGGACGCTGTACCGGCGGTCAAGGGAGGTCAAGGTAGAGGGTGTGGGAGCGGGTGGTCCGAGGGACTAGGGAGGGGCTGTGTGTGTGTGTGCGGGCGTGCTTGTTTGCGGGAGCTGGAGTGTGGAAGGGAGAAGGGGATGGATCACAGCCTCCCATGTCACCCAGCTTCCAGCTTCTAAACCCCTTTCTTCCAAACTAGGATGGGGCCCTGCAGTTAATCACTCGCCCAGCACCCACCAGTCTGCACCCGGAGACAGGGCGAGAGGCAGGAAAGGCGAGCAACAAACAAACCTCTTCGTGGCGCCCAGAAAGTAATGACGCTCACTTCCCCACCGGTGGATTCATTCGAAGAAAGGATAAGGGGGAGGGGGCAAAATCTCTTATTTGGAGATAATTTTAGCTGCCCGTTAGACCCCACTTGCTCCGAGCCGTTCTCTCTAAATTTACCAAGTTAAGTCATCTTGCTTTCGCCCATTTGCCATCGAGAGAAGTGGGGGGAAAATATCACTTAGGGATCAACGAGAAATCGAGAACCCTGGAGAGGAGTTTTGCCCTCTTGCCCCCTGCCCGAGTCCTTGCGTGGTGGACCTTCTCTCGAAGCTCCTCATCCCTTCCTCCTGGCCACTTCAGCCACTCCTCACATCATCTCCTGCCAGGACCTTTTGACTCACGCGCGACTGGGGAGGGGAGCGAGTATCCCGTTTCCTCCCTGCCCTGTCGTTCGAGGTGTCTAATAAGCAAGCCACTCCATGTTTCGGTTAGGGCCCAGGTTCAAAATACCTTGGAATTGTTTGAGATTTTGGTCAAACAGCAGAACTGCACCCACCGGTTCAGGACCAACCGGACGCAAGGAGAAGCTGGGGCTTTGATGGGGAGGTGGGAAGGGAAGGGGAGTCTGGGGGCTGCGTACTAGATAGATTGTACCTGCCTCATCATTATCCTGGCTGATGGGGGTTGCCACATCGAAAACGGCCGGAAGCGCCCGCTGAGGCCCAGGGGCGTCACCTCCTGCGGTTCCTCGCAAGGGCAGGGTCCTCCTTCAGTGTCTCCCCTCGTGCCAAAATGTCGACGTCTTCCTCTGGGCCAGACGAGGCTGCCGACTCGTTCCCTCCACCCCGACACACAGCACCATGAAGGTTTGGATTGGGCGTGCTCTGTCGGGTTCTGCTTTTCTCCCTCTCATCTGGCCCGCCTCCCTGCCCTCCCCCACTTCCCGCACTTGCCCCCCTCCTCCAGCTTCTCGCCCTTGTCAAAGGAGGGATTCAGGCCCCAGTTTCAGATCCACTGGTGGAGTTCTTTTCTCAAGCTCCAGGTCCTCCGGGAACCTGAAGATTGCAAGGAAAGAGGTGGTTGGCTCCTGCTGCAGCACGGAAGGGGTTAAATACATGTGCGGACTGATCTGCAGGCAGCTCCCAGGTCCCTGGCAGTCTGGAGGGAGAAGGGGAAGGGGGGCAAACAAACTTGAAAAATCAGAAGAAACGAAGAAAAAGAAAAGGCAGCAAGCAGTGCCTTTAGGACTTGGATTTGTTCTGCAGATGCCTTGCACTGGCTGGCAGCCTCACTTTGCCAAGACTTTCGGGGATCCCAGGAAGAGTTTGTATTGTTTCCAGCTCCAGGGGGGTTTTGTCCTGAGCTGGTGGGTCCGTCTTTGCTTGCAATCAACAGGCCTTGTAATATGAGAGGTGACACCTTAATCTTGCCAAATATGTGCTGTGTCTTTGTGGGGAGAGGGGAGGAGGGAAGGAGGGAAGGAGAGAGGAAGAGGGAGAGACCCAGACAGGAGCAGAGGGTGAAAAATGCACTTTTCCTCAGACATTGGTTTCCCAAAGGGAGAGCCTCAGCCCTTTTCTGGGCGTCTTTCAAGCAGCCTCCTTTGAGCACCGCCAAGTGCCTTTTCCTTTACTGTTTTTCTTTAGACTTCAGACCTGAAGATATCTTGCCTCTAAAGACTGGGGAGTGACACCAACCCCCAGATCTCTGTAGCGGCTTTCAAGAAAGTGGCAAGGTGCTAAATGAACAGGGTGGGCAGAAAAAAAGAATTAGAAAGGTGTATTTTTGAAAAGATAGAATAAAAAGATTATTATATGCAATGTAGAGCCATTTTTAAGCTGCAGAATATTGTGACTTCTAAGTAAACCCGTGTTTCTAAATAGAGATTTTTCTTTTCTATAGAAAGACCGTAGTGGTATGGGTAGCAAAAGCAAAGATCAGGACTGGAAAGTTAGCTGGCTAGGTTGCGAGCTCGTGCCCCAAAGACAGCCCTGGTTAAGGAAGCATCCAGGATGAGATCTTTTAGGATTCACTAGGCAATTGCCCCTCTCCAAGTTGACTTTGGCTGTCCATCTGTCGACTATATTTTTAGGTTGCTGAACTTTCTTTTTCTCCCTGCTGCCTCTGAGCCTAAGTCCCTGACTCCTGAAAGTGATTTCTGAGAGCAGGAACCAGATCTTGTTTTTGAAAACCCCCTTTAAAACTCATTCCTAAAGCAAATTTCCACAGCACGCCTTCTGGTTACCCTTATCTTTTGCAATAGCACCACTCTGTGGTTGGAACACCGAACAGAAACGGGAACGTGGGATTGAATTTTGCCTTTACCTCGTGAAAAAGAGCACTTCTCTCCTCTGTTTGAGCTCAGTGGACTGTGTGCCGTGGTGGGGTCTCGGCATGTGGTGAGGGAGGGGGCCCTGTGCAGTGACAGTATGTGGTTAATTCATTGTGACATGTTGACCTAGGAAATGAGAGAATTGGACCGAATGGCCTCCTAGGACCCTGTCTGTGTCAAAGACAAGCTTGGTTCCCCCCGCCCCATGATCAGGTAGCTAGCCTTGAATGTTTGTCCTCTTCCATTGCTTTTCTTTCTCTCTCTTTTGAGATCACTGAAATAAATGCCACATTTTTCACTGATCCTAAAGCATTTGCAAGTTGCATCTTCTGCTGCTGGAGGGCGCTGTGTGGAGGTCCTGCCCTACCCCATCCATCCCACCCCCATCCTCCCAGACAGCTGCTAGAGCTGACTGGAGTCTGGAAGTCTCCATTTTTCAAACAATTAAAGTGAATGCAAAAGGTGTTTGCACAGGGACTGGAGCTTAAGGGTCAGGAAAGGCGTCTGCATGCTACCTTGGCGCCTCCGCAATTGAAAGATTCCTGCCTGCCCACCCATTACTATACATATACTGGCAACAGCATTATTAACTAACAGCTAATAACACAGGCTGTCAAGCCCCGTAGCAATTCCTCTCAGATGACCTGGAGTCATCTGTGAGATGTTATTCTTTTCTTTCAAATTGGATCCAGTTGTCCACAGAAATGGAGTGGCTTGTTTACATTTATTCAGCAAGCCCAGGTCTTCCCCCAAATTTCTATCATCTTAAGAAAGCACAGCTTTGCTGTGCTCTAAACAGAACACAGACATCAGAGATCAACTTCTATCATCTTGTGTCCTCATTCCACGTTTAATAACTGAGGAAACTCGGAATAATGAGAAACAAAAACATAATAACAGACCTAGAATTCACTGCCAGAGTAGATTTTGGTGTCTGAGAAAAGCAGGTTCCCCTCTGCCTTCTTCACCCAGGAGCTATGTGGTTTTGGACAGGTTTCTTAACTTCTCAGAACCATCTCGAGTTGGTGAAAACAACACCAATCTCATAGAAGTAATATGAAGACCAAAGGAATGAATGAATTTAAAACAGTCGACACAGTGCCTGGTACCATGTGAATGCCGATCCCAATCTGATAGTCCTTACACTGAAAACACCGTCACACCACGGGGGGAATGACCGTCTGTAGAAAGAAGCTTGGGTCTGGAATGGCCTGTGTATTATTACTTGTGTGCCATCCATACACATTGCAGTAATATAATTTTATGGATGCATATTTTCCCCTTTGGACAAATACAGCAAGAAATTAGCAGAATGAAGTAGTGGACGTGTTTAGAATTTATATAGCTTCCTAACGTGGACCTCAACGTGCATGAAAGACAGAATTGAAGAATTTCAAAGTCTCGTCTTATTCATTCTTTGCCTCTCACCCAGAACCACCTCATCATTTAAAAGGAAATTCCACCATATCCTTCAACTCTTAACAGATTGCCTGGATATACTATTGGTTTGTTGTTATTGCTAATTATGTTCTAGGGCTTACATTGAACAATATAATGAATTACGTTGAACAACAGTGAATCAACTCATTTTGTGACGTGGCATACATATTCATAATTATGTTTCATGAAATTACCCATAATGATAGAGGGAAAGTATGTATTCCTACCACACAGGTAGATATAGAAATCGTAATAAAGTCTCCTATTTCACCAATCATGATATGAATTCCTAACCACCCTATAAATTAACTTTATGCTGCACCAAACTCCACTCATAAAAAAATGACATTAAGGTTTCCTAGGTAACTAATGCGTTTCCAAAGGGAATAGGCCACAGGAGACAAAGAGGACAGGGAAACCGGCGGGGAGGGGAAGTGAAGAAAAGAGAAAAAAACATTCGATGAGATCCATGTGACATAAACAAAATATTTCACGGGGAGGAACCCATAAAGTTTTATTACCTGGGTCTGACATAGATACAGCATTGCCATTAATTCCATCTTTGGTCAGTAGAATACCTTATAGGCTATCCCTTTCATCACACATGCTGGCATTTCATATTTCAGATCAAATTCTACAAATCTTGAGAGGAATTCAACTCTTCCATTCATCTGCTAAGCCATGTCCACTCACCAGCCAGCTGACTCTTGAGCCCTCCACCAAATGCTGAGATGAGGGTGAAAAACAGGGTTGATTTGCATGTTTCAGAATATACAGATGCTTTTGGTCACTGTGGACTCTGAGAACTTTGGAGTGGATCTGTTAGGCATAGTAGAAAACTGGGGCCTGAGAACTGAATTATGGGAATTGAGGTTTGTTTGGCAACCCCTCAACCGAGTGGTGTTTTCACTGTGGCTTCCTTCATTTGGGGGAGGGTCTGGATGCTGAAGAACATCTTGAATGCTTTGGAAGAAAATGGCAAGTTGTAGGTAGAGCTTAAGGCTGAAATTTACACTGTAAGAACTGAGAAATTCTGACAGGCAATGCAATCCAGAGAATTATCCCTGGGTTAGAGATAGGGAGATGGGAAAGATGGGAAACTAACATAACATAGTTAGAGCCACTATGTTTTTACTTTAAAGACAGGGAGATGGGAAAGATGGGCAAGTCTTGTCACTGACTTGTGAGCTCAGGGAAGTAACTGAACTTTTTGGTTCCTTGGCTTTTCCATGTGGAAAGGTTCTTAACCTCATTTTCTTTTATGACTGTGAATATAAATAAGAAAACAAAAAACACACTAATGTGAATAGTTAGAAATTTTGTATTTTCTGATTTCTTCTACTTTCAGTAGCCCTAGAGTGACATCTGTGAGTGAAGTCTCCAACTGGGTACAAGACACGGCCAGGTGACCCCTATAATCCAAAGTGTGGTGAGTTTCCCAGGGAGTCCCATGGCTGACGTGCTCCTACCCATTAGCACTGGGCCGTCAATGTAAAGCCTGCTTTTTGCGCTTTCCCTGACCTGCTGGAGAAAGGACACAGGACACAGGTTCATGGCTAGAAAGCCAGCTGGAAAGCTAGAACTGTCTCCATCACACAATTTCTTCCATTGAGTATAGAAGTCATTTTAGGCTTTAACTCTCTTAGGGGACTTGGAGTGGCATTAGGCATTAGAAGAGCCTTCTGGCCACACCCTCCATTTACCACTTTTACTAGTAGTAAGGGGCAGGGAATGTCTGGGAAGTAAATGCCTATGGACTCAAGGTGCAGCCTTCCCAAGGATTTGGTCTTGGGAACCCAGGTCTCCTTACGCCTAACTCGGACTCATCCAGGCTAGCCATGCCTAAGAGCAACATGTGATGAAATCCCCCTCCAGAACTCACCTCCTACACACCTGCCTTCAGAATCTAAGGCTGGGAGACCCTGCAAATGTCACTTCATTCATCTTCCTGCCCCCAACACCAACCCTCACCTTCCACCGATAGGTACAAAGCAGGATGGGGGTAAAAAAGGTTCATCCTAATCTCCACGTTTCCTTCAAAATATTCCTCTCTCTACTCAGTGGTTCAGAAAAACTGAAGAAAGGGAGTTAGCCACTGTGTTTTTACTTTAAAGATCCTCTGTCCAGCGTTCCCATGAAGCATTAGAAAGAGTTCTTGGAAGGGCTAGAAAATATGAGTTCCAGTGAAAATAAGCTTGCATACCACTAACTCCAACACACACAAACATATACAGACTGACACGCCCCGTGCAGCCAACCCATTGGATGATTGCTATATTTACCAATCAGTTCACTGACGGTTCTGCTCCTTTCTGTGCCCTGTGAGCAAGCTGTCCTCAGGCCCCAGTTCAGAATGCAGATAATGCTCAAGAAGCCAAGGGTGACCACACTGGGCTCTAGTCTGTTCAAACCACGAACTCCCAGCACAGGAGGGATTGTTAGCAGGCAGAAACTTTCTCTACAGATAATAACAATAGGTAGCATTTATTGAGTACCTACCGAGCATCAGGTACTTAATAATCTTAGTATTATAGGCTAGGCACTGTTTTAAGCACTGTGTGCACATATGTGTATATGCATATATAAAGGTACATATACACACACATGCAAACACCTATATGTGTGCATACAGATACATATACACATATATACATAAACCAGCACACACGTGTACATATGGATATCTATATCTATATCTGTATTATCCATACCAGCATATCTATATCTATTTATTTAAGCATGCACTGGTTTTGGCACTAGACTAAGAGGCAGAAACCTGGTTCTTGTCTGAGCTCCTCTGTGTCATCTTAGGTAAGTTACTTGTCTTATTCTAGGCTTCAATTTATTAAATATGTCAAGTGGAAGAAATAATGGCACTTACTTTGTAGGCTTTTTGGTAAGAACTAGAGATATAGGTAGGTACCATTATTAGCTTTACTTTATAGATTAAGAAAATGAGGCATAAAGTGTTTATATAACTTGGGCAAGGATACATAGGTAATGAATGTGTGGCAAACAGAGGCTTGAACCCCAACTGTTTGTCACCTCTGTACCATCTAACTTTGATGAGGTGACATTTTCCTCTTTATACCTATGAAGAAACTGAGTCATGGGAGGAGATAGCAGCTTGCCTGAGATCACACAGAGGAGCTCAGACATGAGCCAGGTCTCTTGTCCCTTAGTCCAGTGTCAAGACCTGCAGTAGGAAGGTTGCAATATCCACAGAGCCAGCCCTCCTGAGCCCCAGGTTGTCCTAGGGCATGAGACAAGGAAGGAAATGGAGACTGAAGGTAGGATAGGATCCGGCGAAACAATGGGCCTTTGTGTGCGCTAGGGAAAAAGCCCTTTCTAGGTGAATGTAGCTCACGTCAGGACACTGATTTGGCATATGGAAGAAGAACTGATCTCAGTGCCCACCGGTCTCTTCAGCTGGTTCCTTCATGCAGATATAACCTGTGTAACTCTTTATGACAGCCTGGGGTGCAAGAGCTCCCACAAGCAGGCTAGACAAAGCCATGCAGTGCCAGGTTGTTAAGAAATTTGTCCAAGGGAACAGGCCATTGGCTTTGTTCCAGAGATTAAAAGGCCACTAATTAAAACTACCAGGGTTTGCAATATCGAGATGTACAAGAAAAAAGTTGAGCCTTGATTCTCTAGTAAGTATTAACTCTGTAAATGCCTGCTTAGAAACTACAGGATGTTGGATTAGAACATTATGAGCAGTTGATATTCTGTTACCTACGTTTCATTTGAATCCCTTCCAGGCACAAATGTCTACTCATGCAAATGTCTCTTCCTCTAACACAGACATAGACTTAAATGTCACCTAAAGCTCAGACTCCAAAGGCAAGCCAGCGTTTAAAACCTGCCTTTGAGTTAATTTTAAAATCTGGAGCTGCTGTCAAGATACTATCCACGGGCATCGGATTTGCATTTGCCTTCTCCAGCTTATCCGCCTCTTTGCCTCCAAAGAAAGATGAGAAAATTCGACTGTTCCTTTTCCCACTACGTAAAATAATGTTCATTGGAAGTTTTCAGCAATGAGCCCAAAAGCTAGAAATTAGTTCCTTTGGAGTGAGTAGAAAGAATAACTTTACAAATGAGACAGCTATTATTTTTCCACTCATATTTATCTCCCCTAACTGACTGTACGGACACCTTAAAAATAAAACAAATAAAAGAGGTACACAAGAAAGTTAGAGATAGCCTTCTAGACATAAGAAAGTAATGAACTAAAAAGAATGTATTTTGCTCACGGTTAGCAGGGAGTCTGTGGTTAAGTCGACAATGAAGTCACAACTGGAAGGAGGTGCCCACTGTGAACAGTGGTCCACATCCCGCGGCTCAAGTTGGAAAACAGAGACTAGCTGCCAGCTACACTCAATGAACAGATGACATTGGGAGGTAACTGAGATCCCCCTAGTCTAGCCCCTCACTTTACAGAGGAAGTCATTACAACCCAGGAAAATGAACACACCTGCCAGAGACCACACAGATAATCAGACTCATCAGTGAGAGTGTGGAGCCCACGCACCTGACTCCCAGGATGCTGCTGTTTGTCTATTCTGTTCATACGGCCCCCAAGAAATAGGCACATCTGCTTTCTTTCTGGAAGCATTTTATTTCCTTCCAATCCCTCCCTTCCGTTTCTTCTTTCCTCTCTTTCTTATTTCAGTGTATTTAATATTTCCTTCATGTTGTTCCCGTTGTGAACTACTGGCCGCACAAGGGGAAATTAACATGCAGAAGGCAAGGTTTTAACAGGAGCTAGAAAAGAATTTTAATCACAGCTGAGGTTAGAAGACAGCTTTAAAAGTGTAATTGCTACTTTCTTATTTCTGATGACATAAGGTTGGTGTTTTCTGAAGAAACATGATTAAATAGATGAACTCTATCTCTTTTTCAATAATGTTATTATAGATGACCTTATAAGGTTCCCAACTGAGGAAATCTTATTTCTCCCTATCTTTCTTGTTTTTTAAAAAAATCTTCTTTGCTTTGTATTAAAGATAATGAAAGGGTCTATTTTTCTAAGGAAATGTTTCTTTGTTATAACTATTTTTTAAATATATATATTTTTTATTGCATTTTAGGTTTTGGGGTACATGTGAAGAGCATGCAGGATTGGTGCATAGTACATGGGTTTGCTGCCTTCCTCCCAATCACCTGTATCTGGCATTTTGTCTCACTCTGTCACCCATACTGGAGTGCAGTGGCACAATCTTGGCTCACTGCAACCTCCACCTCGTGGGTTCAAGTGATTCTCACGCCTTAGCCTCCTGAGTAGCTGGGATTACCACCATGCCCGAATTTGCATTTATTTATGTTTCTAAGTAGAGATGAAGTTTGGCTATGTTGGCCAAGCTAGTTTCAAATCCCTGGCCTCAAGTGATCTGCCTGCCTCGGCCTCCCAAAGTGCTGGGATTATAGGCCTGAGTCAATGTGACTGGCCCCTAGAATTTTAATTTTATTTTTCCTGTGATAAAGCTATGAATAAATCCTTGGATAAATTTCTAGCTCTTGTATCTTCCTGCTAATTACTTTTTCATAAACAAAGTGACACCAATATCTAGCATTAGCATTATAGATCCCAGGAACCTAGGAATATCCAATAAATGGGAGTAGAAAAGATCCAGGTATCTACGGGGCCATGAAGTAAATGGAAAATGTAACTAATCTGGAAGACTCCAAGAAGTAAAGTTAGAATTGATGGGTGGAATTTATAGGGGTGCAGATTTCAAGTCAAGAAAATGTTGATGGTTCTAACATACAGAATGTCCAAAAATAGAATCCTTTGCCACCACAGCTGAAAAGTTGTTCTCTGTCACTGGATAAGCTTAGGCATGAGACCACTTTGAAACATTGTTGTGTAGGGGTTTCAGATTTGGATAGGTGGTGGTCAACATTCCTTCCAAACATGAGACAGCACATATCAGTGATCTGGTCACTTTAGCACGTATATATACTTTCCCAAAGCATAATGCTTCTGTCACAGATATTATTGAAAATTATTTTTGGTGGTACATAGATAAACATTTTACATTTTAATAGTTGTATTTAATTTATTTTGTCAAATCTATGGAGATACAAAAATTCCTTTAAAAATACATTTGTTAGGGATTTTCACTTAAGGTTATACAGGCCAATTTGTAATATATCAATTCTTCCATCAAAAACACCTTAAAAAGCTGGAAAAAATATTTTTTTAAAGCCTGTGTCACCCAGGCTGGAGTGCAGTGGTGCAATCATGGCTCTCTGCAGCCTCACCCTCCTGGGCTCAAGTGATCCTGCCACCTCAGCCTCCTGAGTAGCTGGGACCCCAGGTGTGTGCCACCACATCTAGCTAACTTTTTTGTATTTCCATGTTTCCCAGCCTGATCTTGAACTCCTGTGTTCAAGTAATCTGCCCACCTCAGCCTCCCAAGGTGCTCAGATTACAAAAGTGAGCCATCATGCCCCGCCTGGAAACAGTATTTTTAAAAGCCATCTCAAGTTTCCACTTGTAGTATGGCTGAGTGAGCTCTTCTTGACCAACTCTTCTACAAACAAAAACTATACACTGGGGACCAAAAGTGAAAAAAAATACAGGCAGATTCTGGAGGGGAGTTGACTTTTCAAAACAGGGAGGAGTATGAAGATGATTTTGTTGTTTTAAAAATATGTTTTATCTTGAGGGCAGCCACAGTTGGTACCATATGAGAGAACAAAAACTTAGAGATACAGAAGGAGAAATACACAATTTCTAACAAAGCTTGACATTTTAATAGCTCTCTTTAGGAAGTTAGTAGAGAAAATAATCAAAATATCAGTTAAGATAAAGACAACACTACTGACCACCTTGACTTAATTACTATTTGTAGAGCAGTAATTAAATGTGGCATACACATTATTATCAAGGACCCTGGGTATATTCACCAAGATAGACCATATGCTGGGCCATAAAACAAGCCCCAGTACATTGAAAGAAGGAAATCACACAGAGCATATTCTCTGACTACAGTGGAGTTAAATTAAATATCAGTGACAACAGGAGATTGGGAAACCCCAAAGTAATTGGGAATTAAACAACACATTTAGGCTTTACACAGGTGAAAGAAGAATTAACACAGGAAATTAGAAAATATCTTGACCTTCAGGATAATGAAAATATAATATATCATAATCTATGGGATCCGTAGGGTAGCTCATGCCTGTAATCCCAGAGCTTTGAGAGGTTGCGGTGGGATGACTGCTTGGGGTTGGAGTTCAAGACCAGCCTGAGCCACGTAGTGAGACCCTGTCTCCACAAAAAAAGAAAAGAAAAATCTAGCTGATTCAGGCAAAGCAGTCCCTATAGGAGAAGTTTCAGCTTTCAGGGCTTATAAATAGAAAAGAATAGACCAAACGAAAAGCAAGTAGAACAAAGAAATAGCAAAGATAAGAAATTGATGAAATAGGAGATAAAAGCCAAAAATTTGTTCTTTGGGTACAGCCACAAAATTGATTGTCTTCTGGCTAGAGTGGTCTACTAGTGGTCTACAATATGAAAGATAAAAAATTTAGCAATAAAGGGTCTAAAACCTCAGATTCTACAGAGGTTAAAAGGAAAATAGGACTTTCGTGAAAAATTTCATGCAAAAAAGTTGACAACAGGTGAAACTGAAACATAATTTGAATAATACAACTTACACTTTTGCATGACCAAGTAGAAAATGTTAATAGCCTTTATCTATTAGAAAAAATTCATTCATTATCAAAAACTTTCCCATCAATTAAACAGTAGAAAAAGATGTTTTCACTGTTGAATTCTGTCAAAAATTTAAGGAAGAAATAGCTTCATGTTATTGGAAATAGCTCCCACGTTATTATATGTGGCCAGTATAATCCTAATATCAAGACCTGACAAAGAGACAAAGACATTACTCTTCCTAAAAAAAGTAAATATAAAAAGAAAGTTGCAGATCAATATCTTTTAAAAATAAATGATGAAATTATGTATTTGTCTGTTCTCACACTGCTAATAAAGACATACCTGAGACTGGATACATTATAAAGGAAAGGGGTTTAATTAACTCACAGTTTCAAATGGCTGGGGAGATCTCACAATCATGGTGAAAGTCACATGAGGAGCATAGTCGTGTCTTACATGGCAGCGGGCATGAGAGCACGTGCAGGGGAACTCCCCTTTATAGAATCATCAGATCTCACTATCATGAGAACAGCATGAGAAAATCCTGCCCCCATGATTCAATTACCTCCTCCTGGGTTGTTCCCACCACACATGGGGATTCTGGGAGCTAAAATTCAAGATAAGATTTGGGAGGAGATACAACCAAACCATATCACAAAATATTATGAATGTCATGAATAAAATTTAAAGAAATATATACATATACATACATATATATATAAATATATATTTACCAAGTTGAGTTTATCCCAGCAATGCAGTCAGTTAACATTGAAACTCAATCAATGTAGTTCACTGTGTTGATAGGATAAAGGTGAAAAATCATAGCATCTGTTCAATAGATTCAGGAAAAGCATTTGATAATATTCAGTACCTATTTATGATAAACACACACACACACACACACACACACACACACAGCAAAGCAGGAATCAAAGGAACGTCCACAATCTGATAAAAGATGCAATCCGATCAAAAGCATCCATAAAACTAACTTACTATTTACCAGTGAAATGTTGAATTAATTGTCCCTCAGATCAGAAACAGGGCAAAGCATACAAATATCTCAGGTATCCCTCAGAGGAGAATCAGTAAACAAGCTGTGGTGTATTTGTATAATAGAATATTCCTTAGCATGAAATAGGAACAAAGTGTGGATACACAGAGTACTATAAGTGAACTTCAAAAATGTTGTGTTGAGTTAAAGAAGCCTTACAAAAAATTATACAGTTTATATGAGTCCATTTTTATGAAGTTTTACAACAGGGAAAGCTAACCTATTGTACAAAAATTATAATACCTGTTGCCTCTGTGAGGAAGGGGCAGGAGTGAGGAATGATGAGAAAGAGGCACTAGAGGACTTCCTGGAATGATAGAGGCTTGGATTATTCAGTGTATACCCTTGTCAGTCTATGTTCATTTAAGATTTATGCAAATGTTTTATGTAAATTTTGTGTCTAATGAAAAATATTTGTAAAACAATATAGAACACTAGTTAATAAAATGCAGGCTGAAAGATTTAAAGGGAAATGTCCTGACGTCCTTAATTTATTTTGAAATACATCAAAAAGTAAGATTAATTGATAGATGGACAGAGGGATAGATAGAGGGAGAGATATATAATAAGTCAATCATGGTGAAATTTAAATTATAGAATCTGATCTGTTACTGGCTGTTCACTGTAACACATTTTAGCCTATTGTTTATATCTGAAAATGGTGAGTAAAAAGGAAAATATACTTTTGAAGTAATTCATTCATGGCAACATGAGTAAGCAAGGATAAGATCCCAGAGAAAAGGGAAGTACAGAGGAGTGAAACTGCTCTTCGGCTCCATGTTCCTCTTGAGGCATATGCTGATTTGTAAGTGGTAGCTGAGAAGATAAAAAACAGAGATGAACTTTTAGTAATCTTTACAGGCTTCAGAGACAAAAATTGGAGTTCAAGATTCACTGAAGAAGGAGGGCTTTTGGTTTTGGTTGTTTGGCTGCTTTTGCAATTTAAAAAACCATTTTTCAATCAGCTCAATCAATAGGATTAAGATGATTTTTTCTTGGCCTAAGTGACAGAAGCAAAGGAAAGGATGAAGAAAGAGTGCACCATTCTTCGAGTTATTTGTACAATGCTCCATACAGTACCTCCATTGTTCAATAATAAATTATGAGGAAATATGTCCAAATAGTTGAGAAACAAAAAAAAAAATAAGACAATAGAAAGAAAACCCAAGGATATCTGTATATTGAAGTTATTAGACCCAGAGGTTTAAATAACTAATTATTATTTTCAATATATACATAGCAAAAGGATTAATTTTATGAAAGAATAAGAATGTATTTAAGACTTAAATGTAAATGTTAGAACTAAAAACCTACAACAAACTTAAGAATTCAGATTAAATACAACTGAAGAGATTAGTGGGTCAGAAGACAGATTCATAGAAAATATCCAGACAGAAATGTGGAGTAAAGAAATAAAGGAAAATGCATAAAAGAACGTGAGACACATGATGCATAAAAAAGTTATAATAACATATATAATTAGCATTCCAGGAAATAAGGGAGAGAATAATGAGTAGCAATTGGTGAAGAGATAATGTGAATAATTTTTGAAAATTGGTGAAAGATACTAACCCACATATTCAAGAAGCTCAGTGTGCCTGAAGCAGGATAAATAGAAAACCACACTAAATCTGATGAATGACAATCAATCTGCTGAAATAAAGACCAAAAAAAAGTACCAGAGGACAAAAGACACATTACTTTCAATTGCAACAAGACTAATGACTTTTTAACAGAAATTGTGGATGTCAAAAGATGAGAGAATATTAAAGAGCAAAAGAAAATAACTG